ACATCCAGGGATGGGGCAGCCACAGCTTCTCTGCGCAACCTGTGCCAGGGCCTCACCACTCTCACAGGGAAGGATTTCTTCCCACCAAAGTCCCACCAAATCGCCCCTTTTGCAGTGGGAAGCCATTCCCCCTTGTCCTGTCCCTCCATCCCTTGTCCAAAGTCCCTCCCAGCTCTCTTGGATCTCCGTTAGGCACTGGAAGCTGCCAGGGCTGGGTCCCTGCAGACGCTCCTCGGCCTCCTCCCTGCACACGAGACTGCTCAGCACTTTCCCTGATGAGTCACACAGAACTTTCCCTGCGCTGGGATCCCCAAGGAATTCATCCCCAGAACCGGTTCCCAGAGCTGTTGTGTCACCGTGGGGACATGGAGCTGTTGTGTCACCGTCCCCTCACACGCCCCCCCGGACTTTGCTCCATGGGTTCCAGAGGCTCCTGGGGCCAGGGTGTGGGATTCCTGGGGCTGGGAGGAGCCGAGACTCATCCTGGAGGGAAGGAGGGGTGCCCTGACTGTTCCTCGAAATCCGCCCTTGCCGTGGCTGTGTGGGCAAACAGGGACGTGTCCCAACGGAGCCGCTGCGGGCGCTCCCGGCCCCGCTCCGGACGATCCGTCAGCACTTTGGGAGCTGTGTCAGCTCCTCCCGGGGCCTGCGGGGCAGCCCCGGGGCCAGGGGCAGTGCCAGGGCCCGTCCTGAGCCATCTCTTTCACAGGAGGCAGCTGGGGATCTGGTGACAGCTGATGACTCCGGGACCCTCTGCCTGTGGAGCACCGGGGAGGAGTTCACCCTGCTTGGAAAGATCCCGGGATCTGGGTGAGCCCCGGGGGTCCTGTGGGGTGTCAGACACACGGGAGGGTGACTGGGGGGACCCCGGGCAGGAGGTGACACGAGCCCCTGTCCCCAGCTGCACCTGCTCCTCGGTGACGCTGTGGAACGGGATCGTGGCTGCGGGCTACGGGAATGGGCAGATCCGGCTGTGGGAGGCAGGGACGGGGCAGCTCCGTGCCCAGGTGAGCGCCCACGCCCGCTGGATCTACGCCCTGGACCTGGCACCGCTCACCGGAAAGGTACAGGGGGGTCAGGGCATCCCACCTGGAATCACACCCGGCATCACACCCCAGCATCCCACACTGGCACCCCACCTGCATGCCAAGCTGGCTTCACACCTGGGATCCCACTGGCATCCCGCCCTAGCATTCCACCCTGGAATCCCACCTGGAATCCCACCCCAGTGTCCCCTCCCGGCCCTGGCGCTGCCCCCTCCGCGGTGTCCCCACGGTCCCTCCGCTCCCCCCTCAGCTGCTGTCGGGCGCAGAGGATTCCTTTGTCCACGTCTGGAAGCTCAGCAGGGACCCGGACACGGATGACGTCGAGGTGAGTCTGGGCCTGGGACAGGGATGTGGCCCTTGGAGCCACATCTGCTCCTTGGGGCCTGGGCCGTGTCCCTGGGAGCCGGGGCTGCCCCGCTCCCGGCGTTGCTCCGGCCGCTGTCCCGCCCAGATCCAGCACTGCCACGCCGAGTGCGTGACGGACACGCAGGTCTGCGGCGCCCGCTTCTGCGACCCCGCCGGGGACACCTTCGCTGTCACCGGCTACGACCTGAGCGAGATCCTCTGCTACGGCCCGGCCTGAGCCGGGAACGCCGGGAACGTCGGGAACATCAGGAACGTTGGGAGTGCTGGGAACGTCGGGCCGATCCAGCACTGCGGGCGAGGGGTGAGCACAGACCCCCCTCCAGCTCCGAGGGGATGTGAGGGGGAGCTGGGCCGGATCCCCCCGTGCCCAAAGCCCTCCCGAGGGCCGGAGCTGCTCTGGAGCC